AGACCCCAGCCGGGCATGGTGGTGCATGCCTGTAGTCCCAGCTACTCGGAAGGCTGAGGCAGAAGGATTGCTTGAGCCCAGGAGTTCTAGGTTGCTGTGAGCTAGGATGAGGCCACGGCACTCACTCTAGCCCGGGCAACACAGTGAGACTCTGTCTCAAAAAAAAAAAAAAGAGCGAGACCCCATCTCTACTAAAAATAGAAAAAATTAGCCAGGCATGGTGGCATGCGCCTATAGTCCCAGCTACTTGGGAGGCTGAGGCAGGAGGATCACTTGAGCCCAGGAGTTTGAGGTTGCAGTGAGCTATGATAATGCCACTGCCCTCTATCCTGGGTGACTAAGCAACACTCTGTCTCAAAAAAAAAAAAAAAAAATCAAGACATACAACATTACCAACACCAGAACCCCTTTCTTTTGTCCCTTCTAATCATAATGCCCTCCTTCCTCCTTAGAGAAAATCACTACCCTAATTTTTGTGGTAATTTCCTTGATTTTCTTTATAGTTTTACCACTATGCATGCATACTGAAACAATATAGTTATTTTTGCTTATTTTTAAAATATATAGATGGAATCATACTACATGTATATGTATTCTTTGTGTCTTGCTTCTTTTATTCAATATTGTGTTTCTTAGACTCATCCATGTTGCATGAACTGTAGTTCATTCATTTTCATTGCTGTATGTGTGAATATATCATGATTTATCCATTCTAATGTAAATTGATATTTATGTTGTTTGCAGTTTGGGCTAATTGTGAACAAGATTGTTATTAATAGTTTTTTTGCTGCTATGATCTAACTTTAATGAAGATTATATGATTGTGAACAAAAAGATCTACAGATAAATTATTATAATTACTAAGAGTACAGCAAGGTTATTAAATATAAAATCAATATACAAAAATTGGTTATATTTCTATACATAAGCAACAAACTAAAAATGAAATCTGAAAAGATGTCATGTAAATTACTATTTAAAAAATAATAGATCCCTAAGACTAAGATTTAACAAAAGGCGAGGAGATCTTTTGGGGAAAATTATAGAATTGTAGATTCTTTTACATTTTCTGTATATGCAATCATATCATCTACAAACAATAAGTTTTTTTTCTTCCACTGCAATCCCTTTTGTTTATTTGTCTTGCCTTATTGCTACCTTCACTACAGTGTTCAGCAGAACTCCTTGTCTTATGTGAAAAGCTTTCAACGTATCACCATTAAGAATGATGTTTGGCTGCCCAGATGTGGGTCCTGGTGCACTATGGGCCCACCGCACCAGCCAGCATTAAAAAAAAAAAGAATAATGTTTGCTCTAGGTTTTTGTAAACATCTTTTATCAGATTATTCCTATCATCTATTCCTAGATACCTTAGTGTATATATATATATATATATCTTCATTATGCATGATGTTGGGTTTTAATAAGGCCCTATTGAGATGATATCATCTTTCTCATTTACTTTTAATGTGATGAATTACAGTGATTGATATTCTAATGTTATATCAACCTTATATTCTTGAGATAAACCCAAGTTGGTCATGATGTGTTATTCTTTTTAGATATTACTAGTTTCAATTTTCTTATGTTTTGTTAGGACTTTTATACATCTAAGTTTATAGGTGAGATTATCCTATAGTTTTTTCTTGTTGTACTCTTATCTGATTCAGTTTCAAAGGTTATGCTAAACTCATAAAATTAATTGAGGGGTATTCCCTCTTCTGTTGTTTAAAGTAATCTAAGATTGAAATTCTTGGTCTTTACGAGTTTGATGGAGCTCATCAGTAGAATCATCTGGCCTCCTAGTTTACTTTGTGGGAAGGTATTTGATTACCAATTAAATTTCTTTAATGATTATAGACTATTTAGGCTTCTAAAATTGTTTTTTAAAGACAGGGTCCCATTGTGTTGCCCAGGCTGAAGTACAGTAGGATGATCGTACTGTTCGCTGCAACCTTGAACTCCTGGGCTCAAGCAATCCTCCCACCTCAGCATCCCGAGTAGCCGGGACTATAGGCATGAGCCACCATGCCCAGCTAATTTTTTAAAAAATTGCCTGAAGAAACGATGTCTCGTGTAGCTCCATAGGAATATTGCTTTATTGAGATGCCCCCTATAATATTAGAGACAGAAATGATCTCAGGAATTTTGCAGGGCTTTGCCCTGAAGGAATACGTGAAGGTGTTAGTTTGCATATCAAAAGCTGCCTGGCCTCAGGAGGGCATCTCAAAGGTCAGTAGCAGCTGCTTTCCAAGGTGATGCTGCAGTCTCAAACCTGTGGTTTTTGCCTGCTTTAAATGACAAAGCAGGTTTGCATGGAGCCACAGGGTGAGAGCTGATCAAAGGATGCCCAACTGAGACAGACACCTGTAGCTAAAAGCAATTAGCCCAAGGGACAGTTCCTGCTTGACTCCTGACTACGGGTCTCCATCCACAATAACTAGATAAAGAAATATGGAGCCACAATATCTCTGCTTAACCCTTCTGTTAAGTGATAGCTTTATCTTAGAACTTAGAAGTTTGTCTTTGAAAGATTTCGTAACCGTTTGTTCACATAAATAGAGTTAATTAAGGGATCTATAGAAGCCTTTTGGAAGACTTTTAACTTAAAATGAACTACCTGTTATTATGTAAACCTGTTACCCCTGGCAGCCTCTGTACCTATAAATACCCATGTGAAACTTTATTCTGGGCCTCACAGTTTACGGAAATACTGTGGGGACTCTCGAGCCTTGCTTCATAAATCTATAAAATTGTATCTTCATCTCTGTGTATTCTTTTATTTCTGTATTCTTTTATTTCTATTCTCTATTATTTCCTTATCCTTTGCAACGACCCCTGCCTAAGGGACCCGATTTTTTGCTGGGAGCATAGCTAACTCCTCGCAGTCTCGCAGTCTCACTATGTTGCCAAGGCTGATCTCAAACTCCTGCCTCAGCCTCCCAAAGTGCTGAGATTACAAGCATGAGCCATCGTGCCTGGCCGGTTTCTAAAATCTTTTTATTTAGTATTGGTTAGATGTATTTTTCTAGGAATTTGTCCATTTTATCAAACTTATTGGCATAAAGTTGTTCATTATATCCTCTTTAACCCTTTTCAGGTTTCGTCATTTGTAATGATGCCCCCTTCTCATTCCTGATATTGGTTCTTTGTTCTCATTTCCTAATCTGAGATCTGGGGATAAGTGTAAGTAACCAGTAAAGAAAGAAGTCAAGGGTGTTGGAAGCAGAGAAAACAGCACAGCAAATGCACTGAAGGGCATAGTATATTTGGTATTATTTCCATGAAAACCTTGAGATAAAGAACAGCTTCCAATGAGGCTGACAGTCAAATCATAAAGGGCCTTGAAGAGAGTTTAAATTTTACCTTCTAAGAGATGTGGACAACGCAAGAATTTTAACCAAGGAAGAAATGTAGTCACATTTTCATTTATAGGAATTACTATGTACCAAACACACATTGTGCTAGGCTCTGATGAATAAAATCAACCAGACAGGTTCCGCACCTTTGGGAAGCTCACCGTATAGGGGGAGAGGCAGTCATCGAAACAAATTGCAATATAGTACAATAAATGCTAATAAAGAAACAAAGTTTATGAGGGCAGATAGCTTACTCTAAGAGTGAAGTTTGACTTTTGTGTAACTTTTTGATGAGTTCCACTCAGCATCTCTAAGCATTCTCCGGCTTACATTATAAGCAAACATCTAGATCCCTTGGGAGCTTTGTTAACATGGGATAGCCTGTACAAGCTTGATTTAGTACCCAATCTGACTCTTTTCTGGCCTGAGTCCCCTCCACCTGTGTTCTTTGTTTCAACAGAGCACATCATTCAGTTTGAAAGCCAGCTGTTTCTCTCTCATTTCCTATAGGTGTAGAAAATATCCAGGTAGTGGCTGCAGTTCCACCTCTGGTTTGGTTGCCATGCATCCTGGGCGAACTACTGGTAAAGGGCCCTCCACTCCCACGCAGATCGACCAGCAACCTCCACGGCTTCTCATTGTGCACATTGCTCTGCCATCCTGGGCTGACATCTGCTCCAACCTCTGTGAGGCCCTGCAGAACTTTTTCTCTCTAGCCTGCAGCTTGATGGGCCCCAGCCGTATGTCCGTGTTCAGCTTATACATGGTACAAAATCGGCACGAGTGCATCGTCCCTTTTGTGGTGAGTATATCTATATCTATTCATTTTATTCTGAAAGCAAATATAGTATAAGATTTCTTCTAAAACAGAGATCACAGTAATTATTACTTATAGCAATAACTACACTAGTTCCCCTCAGCCAATATCCCACAGGTGACACCATAAGAGCCAGATGACACCCTGCATATATGGGGGCTTGTACTGTAGAAGAGAAACCCCAAAATTATTAATCTAGGAGTTTAAATAGGTTACACACTACCCCCGCTATGCTCCTGAGAAAGGGAGAGAAACTTTGGCGTTAACAATTCTTCGAAATGTAAACAACTGACTCTTTTCACCCCTTTTGAAATGTAAACACATAAGAAAGTAAGTCCTAAATCTCTTCAGAGGTCTCTGGCTATTCCATCATCCTTAAACTTCCATCCTTAAACTTCCACGACTTGTTCTTCACCCCAAGTACCAGTTTTCTTTGCTCAGAAAGCCCTAATTGTGTAAAAACATGAAAATATTTTCTCTACATCCCACATGGGACTCAGGTGAGACCCCTGCTAAGGTTTTAGAAGTCAATAGCTAGGCTGAGGGCAATGTTTTTACAAAGCTCCCCCTTTTTCTCCCTTATGTAAAATTCAGAATCATAGGGATGAGAAAGGCTTCCAGAGGTTCTATGCATCTCTTACACTGAGGCAGCCTTGCTACTAGTATATCTTATTAACTGGATATGAATCTTGTTATTTAAGATTTCTGAAAGAGGAAATTTTATAAATCTATTACGAAGTTATTAATGTAATATCTGACTAGAATCTACTCATTTTTAATTAATGCCTCAGTTTCCCTCATTGAAAGTGGAAAGATAACATCTCTGTTGATACTACAAAGAATGAAAATAATATACATCGCATTATGCTTCTTGGGTTAGAATATTACAAAAATATAACATACCCTGTTTTTTTTTTTATAGAATCTTAGATTCACAGAAACTAGGGGTTTATTTCTCAAAAGGAGTCATATAGGGGAAGTTTTGAGTGTAAAGGCTCTAAGTGCTAAGCCCGGTGATTTTGTCTGTGCATTTTTACTTAGGCTGGATTGAGGATGGGGAATGAGTAAAGTTACTTAAGAAATTCAACTGATCCTTTCTATAGCTTGCATAGAATTTGGTTCCTCTATTCTTTGTTTATTGCTGTGTAACAAATTATTCCAAAATGTAGTGGCTTAAATTAATAAACATTTATTATCTCATAGTTACTGTAAATTAGGAATTCATAAGCAGCTTAGGCAGGTAGTTCAGGCTTAGGATCCCTCATGAAGTTGTGGTGAAGATATCAGCTAGGGTTGTAGTCATCAGAAGGCTCAATTGAGGCTGGAGGATCCAGTTTCAAGATGGCATATTTGCATAGCTATTGGCAGGAGTTCTATTTCCTTACCACTTGGATCTCTCCATAAGGCTGCTTAAATGTCCTCATTCTATGGCAGTGACTTCTTCCAGAGCAACTGGTCCAAAAGAGAGGGAGAGCAAAGAGGAAACCAAAATACCTCTTAAGTCTTAGTCTCAAAAGTAAGACTGTCACTTTCTCTACATTCTATACATTGGAAGCAAGTCACTGTTCTACCTAAGATAAGGTAACAGGGAGCAGATTTACCCTTGTGCCTGAAATAACAAAAAAACTAGACAAAACATAGGAAAAACAGTTTTTAAGATTCTGGGTATCAGGCAGCAAAGGACAAAGCTCCCTGAGAGACAGGAAGCAAATGAGGTAAGACCTAGGATTGTTCTAGTCTAGTGCCTTGAGAAAGTTTCCAGGCCACAATGCAGAGAGAGGGAACCTAGGGTGGTGCCAGTGGTCTCCCTGAGTTGAGAAGATAGATGTGGGACTTCAGGAAGACCAGGCCACCTAGAGGATAAAGAGGTACATAAAGGAAAGGAGAGAGCTATATACAGAACTCTAAAGACCTGAAGAAGGTCGCTTGAGTGTTCAGCTGAGTACTGATCATGACATGCATGTAAGGAAACTACCCAAGGCAAAAGAATGAACCACCTGGAAGGACTAGAGGCAAAAGTACCTGGCACTCAAAACAGCAATAGTACCTGTTCATATCAGCCATATTAGAAATCCTTGTAATTTATTATACGTTGGGTAGAATACCCAGAAAGGTCTTGCCTTTCTATAAAGGCTATAAATAGCTCAAGACTTAGTGCTGCTCAGAACTACCTAATATAAACAAAAGATCTAAAGAATCAAACTTTTTCCAGGCAACTTAAGTATCCTGAACAGAGCTCAAGAATATTTATAGAAATAGAAAAATACCCAGCACCCAACTAGGTAAAATTCACACTGTCTGGCATTCAATCAAAACTTAGCAAAGAAGCAGGAATGATAACCCATTATGAATAAATAATTAATCAAAACTGATCTAGAAGTGACATAAATGTTAGAATCAGCAGTGACATTAAGATAATTGTTTTAACTGTATTCCATGTGTTCAAAAAGCTAAAAAGATCAAAATGAAACTTCTAGAGATGAAAACTACAATTTCTGGCATGGAAAATACACCAGATGGATTTAATGGCAGATTAGACATTGCAGAAGAAAATATTAGTGAACTTGAAGACATAGGAATAGAAACTAACATGAAACACAGAAAGAAAATAATTATTTTTAAAAATGAATAGAGCTTATCACTGAGCTCTGGGACAACATCAAGCCATCTGATATGTACGTAATTGGAATTGCCAAAGAAGAGCAAGGGACAGAAAAACTATTTGAGGAAATAATGGCCAAAATTTGTCCAATTTTGATAAAAACTCTAAACCCACAGATCCAAGAAACTCAATGAATGCTAAGCACAAAAAAACATGAAGAAAACTACATCAAGGCACATCATTTCAAAACTATTGTTAAAGAGAAAAGCAACCAGAGAAAATACATAATACATACAGAAAAACAAAGATAAGAATGAGAAAAGATTTCTTGTTGGAAACAATTCAAGTGAGAAGATAATGGAATAACATTTTTAAAGTAGTGAAATAAAATACTGTTAACCTAGAATTCTACACCCAACAAAATATCTTTCAAAATCCAAGTGGGACTTCCAGTTCCAGATAAGACTGAATAGATCACACCTTATTTATCTTACTAAGTACACCTAAGATCCCTGGATATTATATACAATATAAACATAAGACTCTGAAAAGGTTGAAAGAAAAGACAAACTAGGGACTAAAGGACCTGAGAAATGACATAGCAGCGAGTTCCCTGGGTTTCTCTTGCCTCATGTAGCCTGGAATGGGTGCTGGAAAGCCTCTGACCTGGAAACTCCAAAGCAGACCAAAACAACAATCCCCACCCCCACCCCAAGGCCACCCTACTCCAGCCAATCATCATGAAAAAAACAACTCAAAATAAAAAAAAAAAAAATTTAACAGCTTTAAAAAAAACAACAACAACAACTCCATCCCCATCAACAAAGGCCAAGTAGGGAGTTAAATTTCCACCCTTGTGCATAAGGTACCTCTCCCTCCACACCTCCATGCCTCCTGGCCCCGAGAGTAGTCAGAGAAGGTAGAATAGAGAGACAGGACTTTCATCTCCACCTGGCAGAAATAAGGCATGCCCCAAAGTGTTCATGGGTAGCATGGACTCCTATATCCCCACTCAGTGTTAACAAAGTATCCCTCCTCCTTTCTTTCCAGTGAGGTAGTGGAGGCAGAGTGGAGGCTATGTGGAAAGGAACGATAAACTATCTTCCCTCCTCTAAGGCAGGGTGGTGTCAGTGAAGGCCTAGTGGAGAGCCAAGGCTTTCATTTCTGACTGGTGGTAATGAGACCTCTCCCTCCCTCATAATGTCAGTAGAAGCCATGTAGGAAGCCTGAACTTCCACCTCCACCCAGAAGTAATGAGAAACTCTTCCTTTCTGAAGTACAATAAGAGACCAAGTAGGGAACCTGGATTGCCACCCCCACCTGGCAGTAATAAAGTGGCAATCTCCCTTTCTCCATTGGTACAGTGTCAGAGGAGGCCTATTAAAACAGAAGATTTAAATAAGATCCAAAGTCCTATATCATAATGCTCAAAATGTTCAGAATACAATTTAAAAAATCACTCGTCATATCCAGAACCAGGAAAATCTGAACTTGAATGAGAAGAGACAATAAACAGACACCAACACTGAGATGATACCAATGCTGGAATTATCTGAAAAGGATTTTAAAGCATCTACCATAAAAATGCTTCAATAAGCAATTTTGAACATGCTTGGAACAAATAGAAAATTAGAAAGTTTCAGTAAAGAAATGGAAGATATAAATCAAATAGAAATTTTAGAATTTAAAAATACAATAACCTAAATATAAAATAAAACAAAACAAAATGCAATAGATGGGCTCAGCAGCAGAATGGAGAGGATAGAAGAAAGAATCAGTGAACTTCTAGTTAGAATAGAAATTATCCAATCTGAGCAAGAGATAGAAAATAGAATTTTTTAAAAATGAGCAAAGCTCCAAGGACCTGTGGGACTATAACAAAACATCTAACATTTATGTCATTGAAATTCAAGAAAGAAAGAATGTGGAGCTGAAAAAAATATTTCAAAAAATAATTGCTGAAAATTTCACAAATTTGGCAAAAGATATTAGCCTAAAGATTCAAGAAATTGGCTTACCCCGAATAAGATAAACTCAAAGAAATTCATTCTAAGATACACTATAATCAAATTTCTAAAAACTAACAACAAAGAAAAACTCTTGAAAGCAGAGAGAAAACGAACACCTTACCTATAGGGTAAAAATAATCAAGTGGCAGTAGAGTTTCCATCAGAAACCATGGAGACTAAAAGGAAGTGGCACAACATTTCTCAAACACTAAAAGAAAAAACCTGTCAACCCGGAACTCTATCTCCACTGAAAATATCCTTAAGAAATGAATGGGAAATCAAGACATTCTCAGATGAAGGAAAAGTAAGAGAATTTGTCATCAGCAGGGCTACTCTAAGAGAATGGCTAAAGGAAGTTCTTGAAACAGAAAGAA